ATATATAACAATGTTCTAGTGGTTTTTGGATATTTTAATAAAAAATATGTGTACATATTGTGCCGTTAATGGCAAAAATGTTTTTTTTTATGCACTAGTCAAAGTTGAGATGTTGGGCTATTTGGGTTTTCATGATGTGTTGTTTCAGACTAGTGGGGAAAAATCTTCTAAAAATATACTTTTAAGTGTTTATTTCAATGCACTTTTATCTATTTAGATTTCACTTACAACATATATCTTTAAAGAATGTTTTTTCAAAATGTGCTCAAATCAGCAGCACTTACAGACACCAAAACGTAGTTTTATTCCTGTCTATATTCTGAAGGTTTTTTACTGAGGGGTTTGTTCAAACATTTGCCTGATTTTATATAACATTTTATTCCTAAAAAATTACGGTGCAAATGTATTTTCCGCATTCACAGTTACGGAAATGTTCAAAATGTCTTAAATGGTTTAAAAAAGGTTTTTTCCTGGGGTGTGCAAACATTACGGGAATGTTACTTTTGAACGTTCTCCGAATGTTCTGAAACAAGTATCGCAAATGTAAACATTCTAACTTAAAGGGGACAAACACAGTTTCTGCCAATCTCGTGTTAATCTATAGAGCAGTACTGCATCCTTCATGTCTCTGAAGAGTCTTTAGTTTGATCAGATCGATAAAAGACAGATACAGCTTTACGCTTCTCTCCGAAAACAGCTGAGCTCCTGGAGGCGTGCCTTAATTAATCAGTCAAACAGATAACGAAAGGAAATGAATGGAAAGTGTCAGATGGCACACTAATGTAAACACAGCCTGGAAACAGAGTTAACGTGTGACACAGGAGCTCACAACACACAATACAGCCGCTGTTCTTTCTTTAAGGGCTGAGTTTATAAATGACTCTGATCTGGGGTGGAGAGTTGAGTTTTGTTGAGGTGAATAATGAAGACCATCTGGTTCCCGGTCAGCGGGTCAAACACTAGTGTAACAGGAGAAACTGACCAGTAGTAAAGGCCACTAGGACCCAGGAGAAGCCAAGCGGAGATGGGCATCGTCTTCTGAGCTTTGACAACAGTGAAGCAGCCAGTGAAATACTGGAACAGGATGAGGAACAGAGGAACATACCTGTAAAAAATTACAAAATAGATGTGCAAAAGTGACTTTTAGACACCTTATGCTGAAATAAAATATGTTGTACATGAGTATTAATTCAAAAACTGCACACTTCTCTTGTGACAAGCATGAGTTTCACATTAATTGGGTTAATTCGTGTGAAGGGAGTGAAATAAAAGAACTGAATGTGTGCAGAATATTTCACAGCTTACCACAGACAACGAGCCAGAGTTTCATCATAATACTGCAGCAACTCAAACGAGTCGATCTGACAGAAAACACAGAGGAACTAGATTTATTCATTCAGACTATTTGAATATTGTTTGCCCACCACAAAACTAAGATGTCACAATTACAACTAAAATGATTCAAATCAAGTCAGTGTTATTTTAGTATTATTGAGATACTGTTGTAATTTGTATTAATATTTTGAACACTTTTCTCTTTATATTTAAATTTGAATTTAACAAAGTTTTAGCAATTTGTGTATTTTTTTTTGTATTAGTTATATATATATGTGTGTGTCTATATAGGTTTTTTCCCTGGTTACTTTAGTGAAACTAAAAGAAAATGAGAAATATATATATATGTATCATTTAGACCTACTTTATTTCAAGTAATATAATTTTTTTTTTTTGTATTATTGTTTTAACTATAATAACCCTGACTGATATTAAGCTGGGATAAAGTAAAATGTAAACATTAGATGAAAAACTTAAATTTAAGAAACTTACAAAAAAATAAAAAAAATAATGCATTGGCAACTATTTGAAATTTGAAAGTTAAAGTACTAAAATTAAACTGAAACTGAAATAAAAATAAAAGCTGAATAAAAAAAAAAGTAATATATAAGTATACATACTGTATAAAAACAAAAAAATATATATATAATCAAAAAATAAATAAAAATGTCAATCATTTGACAAAATTAAATTACTAAATCTTAAACTAAAATTAAAAAGAAAATTGAATGAATTCAAAATATCATTAAATATTGTAAAATTAATAAATAGGCTACTACTATACTCTGATATGTAAATAACACTGTAATGCTAGGGTGGTTGCCAGGGCGTTTCTATGCGGTTGCTATAGTTTTTAAGTCACGTTTAATCCCTAAATGTAAGACTTATGCTAAACAGTTACCAAACCAGGTTGAAAACTGTTGCATAAACAGAGTCTAGAAAGCTGATGTTGCCATTCGAGAGACTCTTTCTGTTCAGTTTCACCAGAGTTTCTGGTCTGAGGTTCTTCATGATGGGGTTTTCTCTGACGCTCAGCTGCAGCTGGTATCCGCTGAGCAGAAGCCGGTGGTTGATGGACTCTCCAACCAGGTGAACGCTGGCACCCATCACAAACGTGATGATGCACAGGTAGACGGCGGAGCGAGGTAACGTCTTCGGGCTTCGCTCTATGAGCTGGAATAGAATGTCGCATGAGATAACACATACCAAAAATGCAATGCACTCGACCTGACTTCTCGTTTCCAGTGTGATGAAGAACAGCCGTGTCGAAAATAATTAACAATACAATTTAAAATGTTTAGTATTGCATATTGCATGCTATTGGACTTATACACTGTGACGCATTTCAGAGCTGAGAACAGATTTCTGGATGCATGCAATGCATGTCATCAATCATGCAAACTGCAGTTCTTTGAGACACAGAGAAAACATCTGCCAGATGTAAAGGTCAGTGTTGTTCATTTCCAGCAGGTTTGGGGTGATGCATCATTTCACCGACTGTAGTCATAAATATCACCTCCTTCTGAGCTCGTTTTGCTCTGTGAGCTTTAATAAAACGTCTGAGCCTCACATCGACAAATATGACACTGATAAAGTGTCCAACCTTACTGAGAGCAGCAGTGCCAAAAACAACAGCCATCCATCCTGGAAGTGCAAACCATCTTGCTGCAATTTGCAAAGGGGCGGGGCTTAGTGAAGGGGTGGAGCCTATACATCGGCGTGACCCAATAGGTGACCTGCTTCACATTAATGAGCTCACCTTGAGCAGCAGGAAGGGTGTGGTGATGTTGTACAGCATGTGGAAATAGTCACCAGCACTGGGTTTGCTCAAAGGAAACCATTCCAAAGGACAAAAGATCTAGAGAAACTCACAGAAAAAAGCATCAAACATCAGTGGTTTTTAGAGGCCTTATAGCTGAAATCAAATATTTTGTGCAAAAGAATGAACACAAGCATTTGAATAAAACTATAAACCGCTTAATGCACAAATACAGGTGCAATTGCTTAATTAAAATATTCTTGCAACAAATGCATGCGGTGTAAAATAATAATGAAAACTAATGTTAATTGGCTTTTGATTTACTTTACAAAATACTGTGGAAAAATGACAGTGCATATTACATTTAACAAGACAATGCATGCGGTATTACAATAAAATAAAAATGTGAATCATCTTTATGATTATCTTTGAAAATGTAAGTTATTTAACAAGCTAAAACATGCACTTTTTCACTAAAATATTGATAAATTATGTAAAAAGTAAACCGTACAAAAAAATTTAATATTAATGCATATTTTGGTAGATGTGTGAAACACTGTTATTACAGTTATCTGAAACTAAATACAATAATCATTAACTGAAATAAAATAAAGTACATACAAAACTTTAAACTTGATCGAGTTGCCAAGGCAACATTTCTCATGTACTTTAAGTTGATGTATTAACATAAATATATATTATTTAACATTATTATATAAAATATTTATAAACTAAAAAAATACTAAAGCTTAAATGAAAACGGAAAATATAAAAACTAATTCAAAATGTTAATAAAAACCATAATTATTATCTCAATTACACAAAAATTACATTGGCGTGAAATGTTGTCAAATTATCAATTTTGTGCAGATATGTAATATGTATTTTTTAAATGTAAAAGCATTGATTAACTTCGGATCTCTATTTAATAAAAATAGTGTTCTGCTTTATTATTATTATTATTATTTACCATGACTAAAGGCCTGCCAAAGTCCAGCAGGCAGTTCTGGACGGTGAAACAGCACCAGAGGTCCGTGTGGAACTGAGCTTTCCTCGGACAGGGGTCCGTCTCCCTCGGGCCGTGTCTGTCAGGAGCACATGACATCAAAAGACAAATATAAAATGATAATGAGAAATATGCCTGAGGTTATTAAGGCTGGCTGCTGATGCTTTGAGCAGTGCCTAGCTTCCCAGATCAGCTGGCACATATTTTTCATGTATTTATGTCCATCTGGCTCACTCTGGTTATGTCACTCTAACTCTTCCTCCCGTTGTTTGCGCCGCGGACCAGATGTTGGAGCACAAATCAGTTCTCATGGAATTGTTGACATCAGAGGACCGCAAAATCAACAAAAAGGCAAAACTCATTTTCACATTCAAACTGTGCATTGCAAAATATAGACTAGATTTGTACATTTCCCCCCCCAAAAAGCAAGTGTTATGGAGATACTACTATTATGGTTTTTATTAATATTTTGTAAGATTTTATTATTTCTATTTTTGTTGTATTTTTAGTTCAGTTTTCAGTAATTCTGTTAATTTCATTATTGTTTTTAAAATATAAAAAAATGCATATTTTAATGTTCCTGTGGCTCAGTGGTAGAGCATGGCGTTAGCAGCGCAACAAATAAATAAATTAATTAATTAATACACACACTCACTCACTCTTTCTCTCACACACACACACTCACTCACACACACACACACACACACGCACGCACACTCACTCACACTCACTCACTCACTCACTCTCTCTCACACACACACACA